TAGATAAGTTATTAGTAGTAGTGGTTGAATGATACGGATTTGGACAATAGAGGACAGAAAGAGACACAGTAATAAAGGTAGATGTATAGATGAAGGAAGGAAGGTGTTGCTGCTGCTGCTGCTAGCTTACGCTCGTTCTTTCATGATGCTATCTATGGTTTTGTTATGAGCTGCTGCTGCTGCTGCTGCTATGCATCGATCCATAGTGATGATCGCTGTTTTAGTGATCAGTTAGTAGTTAGTTTTGTTGCTTGTTAATTGAATTTTATTTGTACGGTGCTATGTCATTGTTGGCTCGTATTGATTGTTAGTTATTATTGTGATTTTGAATACTCGTGTTCATCGTCGTCGTCGTGTGATTTAAGGGCTATTGTATTGTTCGGGCAAAATGACTGAGTTTGGCTTGAATGGTTGTTAAGTTAAGATTATGCTTAATGTTGGATGCATAGCAGCTAGCTCTATCTGGTTTAGCGTATGAATACAGTGGAATGAATGATTTGTTGTTGTTGTAGATTATATTTGTGGGAGTAGTAGTTTTAGTTGCTGCTGCTAAAATACGGCTAATGTGCTACTAAAAGGAACATTATCCATGCTCTATCTATTCATGCATCCATCCATCCATCCATCCGTCCGTGCGTCTATCGATGAGCCGAACCTCAAGGTCATTGATCTAAACTACTACGATCGGTCTTGAATGCGTGTGTGATGGTCGTCGTCTTTGAAATGTCATCAGCACATGCATCCATCCATCTTTCATTACTTTGCTTTTGCCTTTCTTATCTGCTGGGTTGTCTTGCTTGGTTGGTCGTCCTTTATGCTGCTTGCTTATAACATTACCTGAGAGCAGAAAGAAGCACAGCGCAGTGTTTTATCTGCGCTTGTCATTTATGACCTAGGTTATCAAATCTCTTACTTTTATTTAATCTTAATTACTGCATGATATGTTACATGTGAATGTTTTAGTATTCTACTGACTCTTTGTAAAAAGGGCAATGTCAAAAGTGTGCTGCATGAGACGTAACTCTAAAGGTTTGCTCATAAGCTATAGAGCGTACGTTACGTGCATCCATGCATCCGGATAGAAGTATCAGTAGTTTTGGATTAAGCTTAAGCTTAAGCTTAAACTTAAACTTACAGTTAGCAAGGGTGGGTGGGTGCGTCACCTGGAAAGAAAGTGTTTAAGAGCAGTTTAGAATATAAGATTGTTAAATGAAGCTTGACTCTAGAGTGGAGAGATAGGGCTGAGATTTGATACGCATTGGTAGCTGCTGTTGCTGCTGCTGCTGCTGCTGTTGCTGCTACTATAAGATGGCGGCCTAGATAACTGAAGCCTAAAGCTAGTAGTTGAAAGCTTAAGTTAATTTATGGAGAGAAACTTTCAATTTCAGTTTGAGAACAAATAGTTGATGTGAAATGAAATTGGTGACGAATAGAACAGAGGCAATGAGCATAGGTATTATATGATGACGTGTGTGTTCCTTTAAAATGAAATGACTAATGTGTCGTTGTTGTTTTTAATAGTGGTTTGTGCCAAGAGAATAGGACGGACATTCATTCGTCACATTGCCTTGTAACCGAAATGAGGAGTACTTATTTATGTAAATGTGTGTGTATCTATCGTGCTGGGTGCTTGTAACGACGAATAAAGTAAGCAGTAGCGAATCAACAAGGAACTAAATTAGATATTATTGTAGATATATATGGCTGATTGAGAAGTAGTGAATTGTTAAGATTTAGATGTTTAGTAGTAGCTTTGCTTTAAATAGGTAAAATCAACAACAACAACTATTGTGGTGATTGGTAGTAGTAAGTTATGTGCTGCTTGTGCTTGTGAAGAAAAAATGAATATTGAAAAGAGGAGCAAAGAGCCAGCAGGCAGCATAAGAGAGTACAGTGAGAGATTGGTTGGTTTAGTTTAAAAAGGTGTTTGCTAAGGACGTGTAAGGCAGGTAGGTAGGTAGGTAGGTAGGTAGGTAGGTACAGTAAGCTTATATGAATAGAATAATAGCTGACTGCCTGCCTGCCTGCTTGCCAGTAGGAGGCGTGAATGAGCAGAGTTTAGAAGCAGAGCTTACGTTTTAAGGCTTACGGTATTCGAGTGGTGTTTAGTGCTGGCTTAGTTGTTTGTGGTTGATGTTGTTATGTAGAGACAGACGACAGCAGCTATATAGCTGCTGCTAGTAGGTGTTCGTTAAGATTTGGTGGTGAAATTAGCTGGTATTATTTGTGGTTTAACTTTATATATAAGCTGCTGTGTGTATTCATTGATGTGTTATTGCTTGTTATTTTATCTGGATAGGCATTTTATCTACGTGCATCCATCCATGCATGCATCCACCAGCATCCGGACGGATAGATTATTCATTCATGCATACACATGCATGCATGCATGAATGTAATTTTTATTAAAGATTTGCAAATGATTTGGTCACCGTTGAGTTGTTCTTATTATTACAGTTATTATTATTGTATTGTTATTATTGCGGATTATTTTATAGTAGTTTTAATATGATGACACCATTGTCGTCATCACCATATTCGTCATTTTCATTTATGTGCGTTAGAAATAAGCCTTAACAAGAACAGAATTAAGAAATTGTTTGTGTAAAAGTGAATTAGATCCAGAATTTGAGGTTACAAATCAAATATGATCCATTAGATGGGATGAGCGAGCGAGCGAGCGAGCATTAAGTTATAATTTGGTGTTTGACTATGAAATAAAATCGATGTAAATGAACAGGAAGGAATATGAGCGTGCATGAGTAGGTGAAATGAATTTAAAACTATAAATCGAATTTATAGTGAAGCCGTATGCATATTACTGTGATTGCTTAATAGTTACTTTGGTATCGACATAGGAAGAAGCTACTTTATTGATGGTTGTTTTTTTGGTTGTATTCCTTTTTAGTATTAGATGGATGATATTTTGTTATTATTGTTGTTGTTGTTTATGTGTTGTTATTAATATGATTGCTGGTATCGTTATCGTACAAATTGCTATTGTTTCAGAAAGGGTCTAATATATATTCAAATGTGCCCACTTAATCGCTACATTTCAACAATGCAGACGTCGTAATCAGTTATATTAATAAGACAGCAAACGATATAAAAAGTGAATTATATTCATTGATATTGTTGTTGTGGTGATATTATTCAATTTGGTTTGAAACAAGTGCATATAGAAGAGAGTTGTTTGTTGGATTGACGACGATGCCATACCGTTCGGAGTTGAAACGACCCGATTTGAAAGGTGAGCTGCGCTCTAAGGCTTTTTGATCAGATAGATCACTTGATCAGATAGATCACTTGGTGAATTTACTCGATATGCTGAATGCTGAAAGTCATTATTACTAGTAATGTTTGATAGATATTACAGCTAAATATTAGAATATTTATTGTTTCATTCAGTACAATGTTTCAATGCGATTCTCGCTTATTGAAGAAAGTCTTTTTTTGTGATTTTTGGTTTTAATCAATTGATTGTTATTATTATTATTATTGTTGTTGTTGTTGGTGAATGTTATTCGAGTTTCAGTTAAGTAGATGATGTTAAGTTGAAACAAATGTAGAGTTTAGAAAGGAAGCAGTAGCAGGCAGGGAAACAATATAGTGAGTGAGTGATGATGGTTCAAGGACGGTCATATGAATGAGTGTGGGACGGGACAGGCATAACTCGAGGACGGTCACTGACCATGTTGTTTTATTATTGTGAAAGGCAAGCAGGCAGGCAGGCAGGCAGGTATTTGATAGAATGCATGCGATAGATAAGTAGATGGGTGATTGATTGATCTATAAATGGAGAAGCTAAGGTGATTTGATTGATCTAAGTGCATAGAGAGCAACCATAGATAGATATGGTAGTAGGTATCATTCTGAAGAGATAAGCGATGCATGCGTGCACACCTTGATTTTATTGTGAGGAAACTGCAAAAATAATCAACTGTTCAAATTACTGCGATTGTGGGATATAGTGGGGGACATGAATGGAGGGATATTGATGTGGGTGGATTAAGTGAATGAATGAAAGAAGGAAGTTAGATTCAAAGAAGATTTAATAGAGATGAGCTTATTTATGTGAAACAAGTGGAATCAAACAAATAAATTGATTAATTAGTTAAGAAGAATCTTTAGTGATTTGTTGCTAGGTTTTTGTTAATTTTGATTTGAATTTATTTTGTTGATTGATTGTGTTTGACTGAAATGAATAGAAGGGAACAGGTCAGCTAAATGCCATTGNGAGATGAGCTTATTTATGTGAAACAAGTGGAATCAAACAAATAAATTGATTAATTAGTTAAGAAGAATCTTTAATGATTTGTTGCTGGGTTTTAGTTAATTTTGATTTGAATTTATTTTGTTGATTGATTTGTTTGAGTGAAATGAATAGAAGGGAACAGGTCAGCTAAATGCCATTGGTAATGTTTTATTGTATAGAATAGATAGCTTTTTAAGACCCTAAGGGATTGAGGTCATCATGCTATATAGCTGCTAAAGGTAGGTCACTGATTTAGAGTGTAGCTATCTATTATGTGAACGAACGTCTAGCTGAACTGTTGTACAAAACTGTGTGTTGTGTAAGTGACCATGACCGTAGAAGCTATTACTGCTGCTGCTATGTATCTCTTTGCATCTTCATTTCGTTCGCTTGATCATCTTATTATTTATCACATGCTCAGCTCAGCAGCTCATTATTCTCCTCTCGGAACTAACTGCTAAATGCAAAGGGACGTACCTATCTATTTACCTGAACTTGAATTATTGATACGTTGGAATGATCAGTTGGAATGATATCGGTTGAGTTGGAGTGCATGTAACTTTATATATCTGCGGTAGAGAAAGTGTAAATCAGAGCAGAAAGCATTAGCAGCATTAGCAGGCTTGTGGATAAAAACGTGGCAGATCTGAAATAATCTAGATAGATATTCGTGGATATCTATCGTAAGTAAGGTATTCAGAAAATGCATGATACTAACAGCAAAAAATATTATTTGATGTTAGCTAACTTAAGATAATAAGGAAGGACAGGACAGGTTCAGAATTAGAATCTTAAACGAGGCAGACAAGCTTAACACGAACAGTGCAAAGAATTTACTTACTTGGGAAATCGATGAAGCAGCAGCAGCAGTAGCAAAAATCACATTGTAAATTTGGTTGTTTGGTTGAGAATTTGATTGTTTACAGGACAATTTCCGTGTTCGGTATGTGGCAAAGTGTTTTGTCATTCGTCATCGTTAAGTCGACATCGAATGCAAGCACACTTCAAATGTTATACTTGTACTCAGTGTAATCAAGAAATATCCAGTAAGTTGTTTAAATGTAAACGAACGAGTTGAGTAATAGTGAAAGATGAAAACTAATGAATGTATTTGAGGCAATGAAACATTACGTTCTCATANCTTGTACTCAGTGTAATCAAGAAATATCCAGTAAGTTGTTTAAATGTAAACCAACGAGTTGGGTAATGGAAGATGAAAACTAATGAATGTATTTGAGGCAATGAAACATTACGTTCTCATATGTTTCGTATCCACTCGATCTCACGTATGTTTATGTGTCGTTGTTGCAATTGGGCATTCCCGGACAAGACTAGCTTACATATTCATATGCAAAGTATGTTACGTAACGGTACACCCGGCGATGTGTCTGTATTGGCTAGGAGTTCTACGGAAGGTCCCGGAATGGCAGGAGGTTTGTGGCTTGACTTGAGAGTCTTAGTTGAGTTTATGTGAATGACGACTGATTTGGATGGTTGCAGTTGTGGGAGAGTTGTCACCACACGAGATGGACTCGAGTAGCGCCTCATCGTCGAGTCCAGCTGAAGGAGGTCGTGACAGTGTTTCACCGTCCCTCCTCGACACGTGCTCACCAATGAAAGCCACAACACCGACGCATGCCAACCATCATCTGTTGAACGGTTCCATTTTTCCAACGCTCAACAACACCGAAACACTGCTGACGAAACTACGATCAAAGGTTCGTTCGCGGTGTGATCGATTATAGATCGATCACGGTGTGATCCAGTATTGATTGATCACGGCGTGATCGATTAATTTGTTTCTGCATTCATTCTTCTTTGTTATCATCGAGCAGCAAGCACATTTTCATTCGAGCAGCGTCGTAGCAAATAGTAATTGCAGGTGGATTCTCTTCTACCACAAACGGGTAACGAGCAAAACGCAAACGCGACCGCTCACCAGCAGAGTGCAAATCATCACTGGCTTGCTGCATGGCTAGCCAATAATCCTTTCGCGAGTCAGCTCAATTTAGCAACCATTCAGGCGCATTTATTAAGTGGTAATTTCGTGATTAATTGTCATATTATGTCACTTTTTGTCATTTATTGTCACGTAGTGTCATCTAGTGTTTAAATATTTCATGTCATATAGCCATTTAAGTAATTTATTCATGTGATGCTTGGTTGCGTAGGCATTAAAATAAGTTACGAGTAGAGTTCGAATCGGTTCGACGGGTCGGCGATCGGTCGTCGATTCGATTCGACGGGTCGGCGATCGGTCGTCGATTCGATTCGACGGATGGATGNTAATTTGTTTCTGCATTCATTCTTCTTTGTTATCATCGAGCAGCAAGCACATTTTCATTCGAGCAGCGTCGTAGCAAATAGTAATTGCAGGTGGATTCTCTTCTACCACAAACGGGTAACGAGCAAAACGCAAACGCGACCGCTCACCAGCANTTCGACGGGTCGGCGATCGGTCGTCGATTCGATTCGACGGGTCGGCGATCGGTCGTCGATTCGATTCGACGGATGGATGCATGGATCTGATTACGAACAAGCGTTTGCAGGTGGAAGTCAAGAATCACTACAGCTGGAAGGGCAAGGAACCGGGGCTGTGGGTGGTGGTGGTGCTGCTGAGCACAAGAATGTGATCTCAACGGATACGGACGAAGACGGTGACGGCGGGCACGACATCAAAATGCGAATGCCTGCTGCTGCCGCTACTCGCAAACCTGAAGAAAGCATTTTGAAAGATGACGACGACGATCAAATGACCGAAGAAGATACCACTGCACATAATAATAATAATAATAATACAATGGCTGGTGGTGGGCTCGTTGTTCGATGCAAAACTGAACCAACAGCAGCAGCAGCAGCAACACCAACTGATTTAAATGCTAGTCTCAAATCAGCGAATGAGAAAAGTCTTCTATCGAGTATTATTCCGCCCGCATCACTTGATTATTTCAACAAAATTCTCTTCAACGATACCAACAATACGACGACTAATCATAATGGGCTGACCACGAGCACGAACAATATTATGACTGCGAATCGTCAAAATCACGTTGCGGTTGCAACCTCAACAACACCAGTTCGTTGTTTTTTTTTGTTGAGTGTTGCTTTTTATTGTTTTTATTGTTTGTTATTGATTTGATCTTATGATTAGTTAGTTGACAGCGGGCGGTGGCGACGGCGGTGCTGAATGATCGTTGATAATGTTCTTTGAAGGAAGTAAAAGATGATTGGGTAGGTGGGGGTTTATGAACCAACTAACTTTTCAGCGCGATAGGATTAAGAGGAGATCTACGAGATAAGAGAGCTTTAGATTGCGTTTTATTGAGTAGATTTAGTTAGGTTGTTAGTATTGTTAAAAGCTCAATAAGGAAGTGTGTGTGGTGTTGGTTGCTTGGCTGAATTTGAGATGATGAATGCTTGAGTGTGTGAAGTATGTTTTGGAAATGGTATTGTTGCAGGAAAGCAAAAGCAACAGCAGCAGCAGCACAGCGTCGTTGTTAAACGGAACGGGAACGATGAATTCTTCACTGGATAGTTTGCTGGAGAAGAAGGGTTTGAGTGTGGTGTCACGTTCGTTTAATCGTAACAAACGAAAAGCCACAAAACCACAACAATTGGCCAGTTATACGCTGTTGAAGAATTTGAATAACACTAATGAGGAAGAGCACGATAATGATAATGAGACGACAACGGTAATTTAATTGTAATTGTTGTGAATTAATTATGTGATAGATAGATAGATACCTTATTACCTGTAATTGTGTGATAGATAGATACCTTATTACCTGTAATTGTGTGATAGATACGATATGTTATCACCTTGCGATTACCTGTCTTTGCTCTCTGTGTGGGCGCAGATACCTTATTAGGTATGGAAATTTGCGTTGAGTTTGGTTATGAAATGTTTTGGTATTGTTATTATTATTATTATGTTGACATTTTTTAAGCAGCATTCTTTTTTTTAAGCAATCTTATTTGGGACCACCGGAAAAGATGTCTGCAAAAGGAAAGCAACAGCAACAGCAGCAGCTGCCAGTGATAGGAGAAACAGCAACAGCAACAGCCACATCGAACGGCAACAGCAACGCGACAGCAACAGCAACAGCAACAGCGACAATAATAGCAACAAGTTGTTGCAACAGCATCAAATCAGACTTAGTGCAATCGTGCAGTCAACGAAATGACGAGACGACATCAAAACGCGATGTTTTCAAAGAGAATGGTGTTGGAGATATAGGAGGCGTTGATAATAGTAATAGTAATCAAGCAGTAGCCACAGATACTAATGGGCATTCGAGTGGCGGTGGTTGTGGTCGATTGTCCGTATCGACGTCGCATAATAGTGCTGAGAATGGTGACGATTCAACAGCAACATGTTCATCACAACATAAATGTTTCGATTGCCAGGTCACATATTAATAATAATGTTACTATTATTATAATATTTGTGTGAACATTGAACATTTTGAGAATGCTTAGCTAAATGAGAAGCAATCCGACCGACTAAGGAGTGCGTGCGTACTTATGATGAATAGAATTTTAGGTGATAAAAGCAAAATTGGGTATGTCAGAAACAAGGAATCGTTTCTTGGAGTCGAAAGTGGTGAGTGATGAGTCGAAATTGAGTCGACTGAACGGGCAAATCAACGAACTGCAATCGACGATCGCTCAGTACGAACGTGATCAACGTGATCTTCGACATCATATTGAAAAATTTGAAAGTAAATTACTGGAGTGTCAGGTTATTATTATTGTTATTGTTATTATTATTAATATTATTATTATTGCAATAATGTGATAGTGATACGAATAGATAATGTAAAGAAATAGAACTGAAGTGTGTTTAGGAACGGGCAGTGGCAGCATTAGGTTTGCTACATAAAGGACCAGAATCGTTGCCGGCAGTGAAGTTATTGATGGAGAACCTTTTGGAATGTACCAATTTGACATTTAGAAGTGGTAAGACGTGCTGACAGATGATACATTCACCATGTAAGAGTTTATTCGATCTGAAATTATTATTCTTGTTGTTGTCTTATTGATATTATTATTATTATAAGGGAATCTCATTTGGCAAATATTAATACTAACTGTTATTGTGATATATTCATAGTTGATAGTATTTATTTACGTAATGAATTTATTGATTGATTGATTGATTGATTGGTGTATGGTACAGATTGTTGTTGTATTTTTTGTTGTTATTGCTTTGTTTTGTTTTATTTACGTTTGATACACTCCACTTGATTAGCGGGCAATTTTATTATATCATTTCACTTATTTGACTTGATGATGATTTGTATTTACTTGTCTTTTGGTAATACAGCTCAACGGTTGTGCTTGATTATTATTATTATTACTTTTATTATTATTATTATTATTATTATTATTATTATTATTATTATTATTGTTATTATTATTATTATTATTATTACTCTTACAATAATGATAATAATAATTGTTACTATTATTGTTATCATGCATCCACGTGTGTGTTTGTATTTGTATTTGCGCAGCATGTGTCTTGAAATTATTTGTCACTTGTTAAAATTTGTGATTTTTAAAATGTTCTGCTAGTGCTGCTGCTGTTCAGTTGTGTTATTTTCGTCTGTTGCTGAGTCTGAGTTATTGATATTATTGTCACTGTTATTATTGCTTTCTAGCAATTAATTAATTAATTAATTAATAGTTCGGTTGGCAACCAGGTGGAGGAGTTCAAGGCACTTGAACGATCAAGAGCAAGCGGGCTAGAACGCCAGAGTAGACACACATAATGATTTGGCGACTTGCGACAGTGTGATTTTCATATTCCAATTTTTTGCGGGAATGTGCTGTGCGGTTTTTAAAAATTTTATTTTGTGTGTTTTTTTTTTTGCTAAAATCTTATTGCTTGTAAACTACCTCTAGAGTTTGATTATGCAGTTTTATGCGTTTATTGTATGATTGATCATGTATTGATTTATCGATTTGTTCAGGTGGTAATTATTGTTGTGTTGGTTCGGTGGGGTGGTTATGATGTGAATTGTGGATCAGATACATAGATAGATAGATATTAATGGAACGTTTAAGACATTAGAGAGATGTGGCCAGTGATTAGACGATTTGTACAGCTAGCTGTGGGTACAGCTTGCAGAAGTATTGGAAATTTTGTGGGGTGTAGAAGTAAATGGGTGTTGGTGAGACTAGAGTAACCATAAGACCGAAGACCTGAGCTTAAGCATGAGCCTTAATCCGATTCGAACGAGTTTTTATTATTGCCTACATCATAAAAATAAAGATACATGAGCGGGCATCCACTAGGTGAAGAGGAGTTACTGCGATACTGGCACTGTGTTTTAGGTTTCATGTATTTTGTTTTGTTTTTTTATTAATGTGTTGTTGTTAGCATTATTATTATTTGTTATTGTTGCTGTTGTGATTGAAGGAGATTACGCGTCAAGCAGCAGCAGCAGCATATTTCATTTTGATCATCGATCGCCTCATACTGCTAAACTGATTTGATGGTAACCACAGGCAATTATGGCTTGTATTTTCACCTCTTATGCATTATTCATTTCAACCTTACCACCTCCTCATCAATCGTCGCCATTTTGCTGCTTTCGTTTTTAAACTGAATTCATGCCACATAACAAACCACCAGTCCAAGAGACAAAAGTAGAGCTACTGATAAGTTTCGCGTAAAAAATAAGAGAAGAATAGTTTAATCGGGCATAGATTAAGGTTTATTGAGTGCATAACTGAGGTTATCATCAAACAGTCGTGTTATTGTTTTATTATGCATTTGCATAAATTTATGAATGATATTATATATCGTACGAAAACGAATAATTTTAAGTGTGTAGTTATCGTTAAATTATATTCTTCATTTGGGTTTATTTATTGAAATATCTTTCAACAAACACTCCTACACATAATGCATAACATATATTGTATGTGTTATATTATATTATTATTTATCGATATTGTATTATATTTATACTAACTTTTAAATACTCTCTTATATGTTGTGGTGGTTCCCATTTTGCCACATAAGGTTCAAGTAAATTTCCGTCAGGCGCTGAAATGTCCCGGCCCAATATCGGATACCGTTTCTCCATCA